TAGTGTGTCTTGTTGCGTACAATTTTTTGTAGTTTATCTAGATATATATCATTTTTACATAATATTACAGCCTACTGATGTCAACATTTTAACAAGTTTAGTGTAGAAACCTTACCTCTCTTTAAGTCCCTTTATCCTTCCCCATTTATAACATAAATGTCATAAATATTTCCTCTATATATATCAGACAATTTATAATCTTTAGTTCCACCAGAAAACATGTAGAAAATTCAAGAGAAGAAGGAAAGTATATTGCATTTACCCACATTTTTATCCTTTCTGTTATTTGTCTTCGTGATGTTCCAACATTCCTTCTTTTACTATTTTCTTTTTTTGTTTCAAGAATTTCTTTTTGCTATTCTTTAGGTTGATTATAAAGTCTTTCAACTTTCCTTTATCTAAAAATATTACAATTTTTTTTTCACTTCTGAAGTATAATTTTGCTAGATGTTGAATTCTGGGTTGACGGTTCTTGAGCACTTGACAAATGTTTTCCCACTTTTTTCTGGCTTCCATGGTTTCTGAAGAAATGACACTATTATTCTAATTTCTTCCCCTCCCCCCAAAAAATCAGATATCAGTTTTCTCATGCTGCTTTCAAGAATTTTCCTTTGTCTTTTGTTCTTGGAAGTTAATTGTGATGTGTGTTGGCATCTGTTTCTTTGAGTTTGCCCTGTTCGAGATTTTCTCACTTCAATCTATAGATTTATATCTTTTGCCAAACTTGGGACATTTTCTGCTATTATTTCTTCTAATATTTGTTCAGTCTCATACCCTTTTTCTTCCTTCTGGGACCCTGATGACATGAATGAATGTTAAATCTTCCATTTTAGTTCCACAGTTCCAAAGGCTCTGTTTTTTTTTTTTTCTTTTTTTTTAAGTCTGGTTTCTTTTCATTGTTCAGATTGGATAATTTCTGTGGCTCTGTCTTCTAGGTCAGGAATTCTTTACTCTGTGCACGTCAGTCTGCAGTTCAGCTCATCCATTGGATTTTAAATTTTGATTATTGTATTTTTCAGGTCTGTAATTTTTCAGGTCTGTAATTTTTATCTGTTCTTTCTTATACTTTCTTTTATTCTGAGACTTTCTATAATTTGTTTCAGGTGTGTCCATAATTACTTATTGAAGCATTTTTATAATGACTGCTTTAAAATTCTTGTCAGATAATTTTAACAGCTCTGTCATCTTGAAGTTAGTATCTGTTGATTGTCTTTCTCATTCAAGTTGACATTTTTTAAAGTTTGATATTGTGAATTTTTTTTTTTTTCATATCCTGGACATTTGGTTATTATGTTGTGATACTCTGAACCCTACTGAAATCTCTTCAGACTTTACAGCATTGGGGCAGTGCAGGTGGAATTCCAGGTTTCCTACTCATCCTCCATGACAGCCTGGCATTTGGCACCAAGGTGACACCTGGCACCTTGTTACTGTTGAGTAGATATGAATGTTCAGATTCCTTGTCCGGCCTCCACTGACAATGCAAGTGGGAGCTCATTACCGCTCAGTGGAGATGAACATCTCCACTCCCTATTCAAGTTTCTCTGGCACTATGTCAGTGGGGCCTTGGGTGTGCCTCCTCACAGCCTAATAAAGATCAAAGTCGCGGCTCCCCACATGGTCTTTGCTGGCCTGGGTGGAGCTGGGGCCACAGATTTTTTTTTTTTAATGGTCTTTGGCTACAATAGGGTGGTATTGTCTAAAAGTTTTCTGTTTTGCTAGGTTGCCTTTTTTTTTTTTTGGCTGGAAAGAACAGGCTTTTGTGTGGGGGGCACTTTAAAAAAGTTTTTGGATGCCGGCTTCTCTGGTTTCTAGTCTGGGATAAATAAGGCAGAAAGAAACCCCAAGGGACACCACCCGCCCCACACTGTTTTCCTTTGAGTTGCAAGGTCCCTGAGATCACCCCCTTCTTTCCACCTTTCACAGTCTATGTGTTTATTTTGTATGTATTGTCAGTGTTTTTACCACTCAGTAGGAATAAAAACAAGTGTGTTCATTTCATCTTTTCTGGAACC